TATGAGTGCGTTGATACAGTTCATAATTCTTCAGATCACATAGCAGTGAAATGTTTGTTGGATTTCCAGGTATCTGAAGTGTTAGAAAATTAAATGAATAACGATAAAAAGAAGAACTCTTGTAGCTGCAAATTCGCTAAAGAGGAAGACTACCGCAGCAGCTAACTCTAGATCTTTTTGGAAAGAGGTGAACAAAGTGTGATAGCTCTAAAATGGTAAAAAGATATGGTGTGAGAATTTTTTCAGGATTTTTTGCCTGTTAGAGGTTTAGTACAGTAGAAGGAATATAAAAATTTAAATTTCATACAAAAATTACGCAGTATTTCCATCAACCTTCAACAATGTTACCGAGTCAATTTTATAGGGATCAGTTCCTTTGGAAATTAATCGACTTCACAATGTAGTGGATTTCACTACGTTGAGCATGACTTGAATTCCCAATCCAAACAGATGATTAATTTCTTATATGAATATTTAATAATATAAAAAATGATAATATAACAAATTTTTATAGCGCTTCTGACAAAAGTTTCAAAGCGCTGTACGTGTACACAGATCAAAATTACTTCAAACAAAAAATCAATATTACTAATGGAATTAACATTACCCAAATTACCAAGAAAAAAAATATTACTAACATAACTTAACAAATTATCATTACTTAGATTAACAAGAAGATCAAATATTTCTAACATAACTTAACAAATTAACATTACTTAAATTACCAAGAAGATCAAACATTACTAACATTAAGAGTTTGAGAGTACCCTCATGTAAAGTTAGAGAATATAATGTAAGGCTAGTTAAGCTGGGAAACGACAGCGATTTATTATGCTTATGGAGAAGCAGTATAGCTGTTCATTAGTGTTTTTTTTCTAATTCAAGTCAGTAGGTTTGGGGTTCAGGTTCCTTTCTTTGAGGTGTAAATGAACAAGAGAACTGATGTACACAGCATGTCTGTTCCACACATAAGTATTTTGCTATTTAACGAATACGAATGCAAAGATGTGCAATGCCATGTTATTTGTTCCATACGTATACGTGTAAGTAGTTTGCTTTTCAACGAATATGAATGCGAAGATGCGCAATGCCATTTATGTTCTATACATAAATACCAGTATTTTTGTTATTCAACGAGTATGAAAGATGCACAAAGAAGAGAGATTTGAGACCCTGGGTATTTCATGCATTCATGCATGCACCGGGTATCAAATATAATACTGTTAGTCAATAATGTCAATGTTTGTGTCGTTCATAGCAGGCGCGTACGCAGGGAGGGAAGGGTGTTTTGGGGATTAAACACCCCCTCAATGTTTCTGTCAGTCATTGGCGGATCCAGAAGAGAGGACCCGGATGGCCCGACTCCCTCCCCCTTGCCCCCCCCCCCAATGGTAACGTTAATTTAACCTTTAATACAAAGATATAGAAGACGCCCCCCACCCCCTGATTAAAAAAAATAAAAAGTTTCTTTTTTCTGGTTTGCTCAAGGGGAAGGGGGTATGTGTTGAGTAAAAAAAAAATAATGCTCCTTATCCACCCCCACCCCCCCCCCCCCCCCCCCGCTTATTCGCCGGCTGGGTGATTCGCCGCTAAATATTTTCTCACGAATTGAGAAAAACAAATTGCTCTTATTACCCCGAGAAAGGGACAAGTAATACATATCAAAATACTGTTATGCTGCAATTCATTCGTAATCTGTAGCCACGGCGGTTACCTGTTTGTAAACCGCTTTTTCTTACCTTACTGCAAGTCATCGTTTTTATATCTCTATACAAACTTCACACAACAATGTGATTGTCATCGGAAACATTGGGGCCTCGACATAGAGAGAGAGAGAGAGAGAGAGGGTGGTATCAAGTGTGTAGCATGCACATTCAAAGTCTGTGTTAGCAAGTCATTTACATTTCTTGCTATAACTTTATGGATAGTTTTGGGGAAATTGGTTAGGAATAATTTTGAAGAAAAAAAATCGTGTTGAATATTGATTTAAAGTTAGCTATTAATTCAAATCTCTTGTGTCCTCTTGCACAGACTTAATGATCAATTTCAAATACCACAGCTTCTATGACGAATTTGCTCAAAGCTAATGAAATGCAATGATATAAAATATATAAAATTATTGTTACTTATTGTAGATAGCAATTTTAACAGGGCCGTAGGGCACACTTTTATGGGTTAGTATGCAGACTTTTTTCGTACAAAATGAGTGATTGCATGTAAGTGATCTTATTTTTATATCTTATGCGGTAGGACATTATTCATGCATAAATATTATATTCGTTTGAGTTTGTCTTTGATGTTTGCTCACGTTTGTACATGTACTTCGTGAGCCTCAAAGTACTCTTTAGGCAAATATACTCCACTCAAAAAATATATAAACATGTTTGACAACGTCTAGGATTCTTTAACCTTACAATTGAAACCGAATCGGCCATTGTACCAGCATTGGAGGATTAAGAGGGGTAAAACCAGTTTAATAATAATGGAGCGCGAGGTATGGCATGGCAATGAGCCAGACATGAGCGCTATAAAAGACTCCACTGTTATTATTATCTCTATTATTGTTACCATTATCATTATTGAGCAATAAGAAATTTTTTGCCTCAAAGTATTCTCATTACTTTGTATTATAACTTATAATCGTGCCTGATTTATATCTTATTGTATTGTAGTGTAGGTAAACACATATCCAACGAAATTGCAACCATTGTAAATATTACAGAAAAGAGCTGTTCGTATCTGTTCATTTTCTTGGAGTCAAGCTAATACTAAAGATTTGTTTTCCCCTTCCTCAGGGTTCTTTATTTCCAAAACAAATTCCATCATATACAGTTTATCCATACATTATATACAAATAATTAATAGTTTAGACCAGTTCTGGTCACGCGATTGCATTGTGAAAGAAACGTTGTGAAATCGATCAGAAAAGGTTGATGATCTGGCATATAAGTTTGATGTGTACTGCAAGGTTCTGTAATCATCGAAATGATAAGAAATTTGACCCAGTCTTGGTAAAGTTACAAGCACTGTGCACAGAAAGATCTATATGGGACTACCCTATATCTATCAAGTCCAGATAGATATAATAATAATTCACTAAATATATCAATTAGTAGGCGGTTTCCCGGCAAAATTGTTATCATCACGCATTAGTCAAAACATATTCTTTCACATGATTGGTAATAAGAGCTTCCATTTCATTTTTTGAGAGGGGGCGTTTCCAAAACTGGTCTTTACCTTTAAAGAAATAATTTCCATACTTAATGGCTTAACACAGATAATATCATCACGACCGAAAATGTTGTGGCAGATAAAAAAAAAAAAAAAAACTTTTATGACGACATCATTATTTTAAATATATAAAGAAAATACCAAACATAAAATACTTGATCAAGTTCGTGTTGGCACGTTTCCAACACTCTCAAAATATTCTCTAAAGTGAAACCATTTCTTTTTCAATTCATTCTCTCTGAGATTTGTTTGGTATACATATTTTTCCAATTCATAATAACGTTTTACAGCTGATATAAATATATATTAAATGGAGGTAGTTGATTTCGTAATTTTGCTGAAAATATTGCTTGTCTTACAACCATCAGAACACAGTTGAATGCATTATTATTGCTACCGCAAAATCCAAACAATTTATTTTGATTTGTAAGTATGATCCTTTCCCCCGTATTACGAAATATCCAGAACTCAAATTTCGACCATAAATAATAGTTACAAAAGCAAAAAAACATGTATGATAGTTTCATTATCGCTATTACAAAAGATACACTTCTTGTCAGCCACTATACCAAATCTTAACAAAGTATCCTTCATGTATAATACTCTTTTTAAAATCTTGATTTCAAACCACCTCATCTTGATATCTATTGTTGACTGAAATGGAATATCTATTGTTGACTGAAATGGATAAAGAAGTATTTGTTAAATGTAATGTTCTTAATGTCTTTCAACTCACTCTTACTACTGTGCAATATTACTTTTTAGACATAAGCAGAATATGCTTCATAAATCATTGTCATCAATGCTCACTTTGAATTCAGTTGTATATGGCCATAATACAAGAAGCAGAAATAAATATCCTCTTTGAACTGTTATTAAAACTTACGCACTATTCTCTTTTAGAGATCATACTCCCATTATCTGGAATAATCTTCCACTAGAAATAAATTCACTTAAAGTAACTCAATGAATACCTTTAAAAGAAAAGTCAAATCATACTCAATCACAAGTTTTTGAAATTTTTGATTTTTGATTTTACTGCCTCGTATTGTCCTGTGATGGGTTTGTGCGGTAATATGTGGGTTTTTTTAATAAAATATATCCTATATTCGTAATTATTTATTTCTTTGTAGTAATCTATCATCTTTTTAATTTTCTATATCATATAGAATGTTCAGTGCAACTTGTGCAACTTGTGCAACTTTTACCTTTATTAAGGATGGTCGTCTCGACAAATCCTCGTGGTACGGCCACCCAATTTCAATAATGCTCCATCTTGTAATGGTATATGTTGTATTGCTTTATTGTTCTATCATTTTACCTTATTTTTTATTACTCCTGGTGGATTTATACTGCTATTCTGTCATGATTGCATTATTTTTTGTATTGAATTGAATTGAATTATCATTTTTTTTGTAAATAACATTAAAAATCATCATTATATAGTTTTATTATTAGTAGTAGTACTATTATTAGTTTTATCATTACCATTATCATCATTGTTATTATTATCCCTTGGGCGTTTTGCTTTAGTTGGCAGCTAGCTTTGAATTATAAGCCCCCTACCCGGTTGAAATATGCTGATGTTGATTTTATCTTTAATTATCATCTTTTTCTTGTTTGCATGTTACCATTTACCTACAATTCTGCCCGCTCATTGAAAATGAAAAATGACAATCGGATCTCTGGTATGTCTGTAAAATGTAGATGTTATTTGTATTAACTTTTATTCTTTTTGTTTTGCTTTGTTTTCTAACCAGCAGAATATCAATTTTATCGACAATGAAACTCCCTTTGGCATCTGGGTTAGCATGCTGTCTCCTGATCATCCTCGTCATCAATGTCGATGCACAATGCGGCATGGACGTATTCGTCAACGTCTCCATTGCAGAGGAGACCGTCTACATGTTCGAAGGTTCCGAGATCAATACCACCATCACCGTCAATGAAGTCCTGGTCGATGGCGTCCTGACCTTCAGGTCATCCAATCCGGCTAAATTCAGGGTTAGGGATGGTGATGCAACGACCATATTGACAACGAGTGCAGTTGATCTTCCCTTTAACATCACCGTAGTCATCGAAGGTCGAGCTATCTCAATAGAAAGCCTCGAAGTCCTCTTCAAACCATCAGGTTCCGATGAGTTGGTGGAGCTCGGCAAACAGACCATTGGTGTCAAACGGATACCACAACTTTTACAGGTACGTTCATGTGTTCACAACCATTTAATATTTATTCACACAATTAAAGGTCGATCAATAATTTCAGAAACAATATACGCCCGTCAAAGGTAAATTATTAAAAAATTATGCTATACCACAAATTTGTCTCGTCACAAAGCCTAATCACATACTTAAAAAATAAAATGATAATTGATTGAATTGTACTGAATTTTTATTTTGGCGATATGTTTTACAACGCATTGATTTTGTGTCTTCACAATAAAGGTATGGGTATATAATATGTCTATATATAATCTAAGACTATGGCGTAGTTTTGGTCCAGCCATGGGGTGATTGATGTTAAAGCCCCACTGCACTACTCATAGCTACCTGCGCCCTATATATGACAAACAATGTCTAATCGGTGCCTGTTGGTCCCCCATGATCCTCTTTTTCTTATGTTAATCGACATGCAGGAAGTCTAATCCCCCCACCCCCCCCCCCCCTGGCCAAACTAGTGCAGACGGTCTTTAGATGTTAAATCATTATATATTTCTGTGATTTGTTTTTTCTTCTCCTCGGCTGATGTAAATAATATACTCTACAGGCAATATATGTGTACATCGTCTTGGCTTGGATTCTACTCAGTTATCTGTCGATGGGAGGAAGCATAGATCCCAAGGAGATTTGGAAGAATGTTCGTCGACCTTATGGAATCTTAATCGGTCTCTTCTGTCAATTTATCATCATGCCTGCGATGACGTATGTCATTGCGCTCCTCTTTGCAGGTAAGTATTTGAGCGAGGGACGAAAATCAAATTTAATATTATTTCATATCTCTCTGAGACCATTTGTTGTTGATATCCAGCATGATGTCTTGATCGAAAACAGGGGCAGATCAGGGCCCCATTTCACAAAACTTGTCATCAGAGACAAATGACAGTTTTTGTTATAAGCTACTGAAATCCCTGCTCCTGATTGGTTATCAGCAGATTTGTCACTGACTTTGTCATTTGTCATTGAAAAAAGGCTTGGTGAAACGGGTCCCTGAGGGGGAGTTTTCCTGACAATGTTTCCTATGTGATTTCTTTTAAGTGCACTGTTAGCTAATGAATGACTACTGGGGGAAAGTCAACGTAGTTTCAAAGCATATTGGGAGCTCAACGAACTATATTCCTTATGATTTGAATCATCCAATCAGAATCAGTTGGCTGGTTAGTAAAGTATCTTCATTTTTGTCTATTCTTTTGAGCGTGCGCATGCTTTTGTTTTTTTGGATGGACAGATTGTCCATAATACTAACTCGCTGCCACAAGGTTAGCTGTGCTGTTATCATACCATGGGGGTGTTTCACAAAGACTAAGATTGAATTTAAGTTGGACTTAACTATGGCAGGCCCTTCATGCCACTGTTTTCTGCTGTCACCGTTTACTGCCAATGGTCTCTCCAGGGACGTACAAATCATGGTCACACATAGAATTTATCTAAAGATCATAATTGAGAGACCAATGGTGAGAGCAACAGTGACATAAATGGCCTGTCATATTTAAGTCCAACTTAAAGTTGATCTTAGTCTTCGTGAAACACTCCCCATGATGATTTGTTCCTATAACAGAGGACGATGCTACGTCGGTTGGGATTGTCTTGGTGGGTACGGCACCAGGTGGTTGGCTTAGTAATATCTTCTGTGCTCTTCTCGACGTCGATTTGGTACTCAGCATCACGATGACCTTCTTCTCATCTGTGATCGCCCTCGGGATGATGCCTCTGAATCTCTACATCTACGCGACACCATTCACCACGGAGAACCAAAGATTAGTGACACCCTACTCCGAACTGGCCCAACAGCTTGCCATCTTGGTTATACCACTCTTCATTGGCATGGCTATCTCATGGAAATTCCCGAAGTAAGTTTACGAAATAGAAGTATATCTAACTATCTATCTATCTATCTATATATCTATTTATCTATCTATCTGTCTCTGTTCCATAGCTTGGAGGCCGTGGGGGGGGGGGGGTTGGGTAACAATGACATGGACCTTGAGACACAGGTTCTCCCGAACATTCTGTTTTTAGTTGTTCGTTAGCTGCTCAAAATCAAATGACATTCATGTCCACTGCTTGATGGTATCAGTCCATGTCTGGTCTGCCCCTCTTTCTTATCCCATTAGTTCCTCCTTGCAAGATGGTGTTTGTCATATTGCTGTATTTTAATAAACAGTTTTGTAATATTGGATTTCTAACTTAACATTCAACACAGTCTTAATAAAGCTAGACTTGAACCTGGATTTAGCTTAATCAGGATATCACCAAAGAGACTTTATATCATACTTGGAGCTGGGTGTGTCTAAATGTAGTTTCGTTAATCAATGCTTAACTTTGGTCTAGGTTTTGAATAAATTGGCTATCAGGATTCGGTTGATTGATGTGCTGTGGTGTCGTTGTGGAGTGGTTTGATCGAATGACTGTGTATGAGGAGGTCGTGGGTTCGAACCCTAGTAGTGCAATATGTCACTCATGTCCTCTTACGTCAGGCATGTATATTGCTAATCTCCACCCATCCAGATTGTGATGTGTAACCAACAGGATGCGGTTTTTCATTGTGTAACATTCCAATAGCTCATACCACCTAAATCGAGGACTATGAATTATAACCGTCAAATGTGTCCAAATGTATCTGTTAGTCTAATGTACTTATTGCATTGTCATTTTAACTATGCCTGCATTAAACTTTGTATTGTGCACGTAAACGGAGCAATTAACATCTCTTTACTACTTTGTTTATATGGACAATCAAAATATTGAATAACATTGAATTGGATTGATTTATAACAAAAATCAAATTTGTGTCTCGTTTTCAGGTTCAAGAAATTCTGCAAGAAGGTTGTGAAACCAATCGCTATGTTATTAATTGTTGTAGGCATTGGCATGGGCGTTCCAGCGGATTTCTATGCATTTTCACAATCTCCGGTCAATGTAAGATTTTATAAAATGGCTCTAGTATTTTAAGCATCGTGATTGGTCAATACGCGTCACATGGCATTGACAAATTTTTTATCAGTAATTATGCTTTTAAATTTCAATGAATTCTGAAATTTACAATTTTCATATTATTGGACATTACAGTCTAATCTTTGATGACCCGTGTACTATAGTGACCTAAACTATAAGATTTTAATTTATCAAATGATGATAATGATAAACGCTATTTTGTTTTGTCACCACTCTTGAAGTTCGGCGTTACACAGGCCTTTTCCAACGCAACAGGGATCTTACCAATACACAGAGAAATATTGACAATATGCGCGTCAATGGCACAATGATGTAGTCTATAGCATCTCTGCCAACCGCACCCCACCCCACCCCACGTCTGTGTAGGGTTCTGCACCTTTTTTCCATTACGTTACGTAATTACCTTTTATGATAACGTGTGTCGTACCTTTACATCTTTTGAACGACCTTTTTTTTTTAATTCAAGACAAAAGGTGACGAGAATCCTTTCTTTAATATCACTGTGGAGTTTGATCATTTCTCAAGTAACATCTGTGCATGGCCTTTCAACCTTACACGATTATTTTGTGGCATCTATAAATTATTATTATCAATCAAATTATCAAAATGATCAACCAGCTTGTATTCATTCAATATCAGTTAGCAATAAGGTAATGCCTTCACGGTCTCATTTTTTGTGTGGATTTTTTCACTGTCTTAGAACTGGATAGTGAGTATCCTCATACCTCTATTCGGAGCGTTCTTCGGCCTGTCTTTCGCTCGTATCTTCGGCCGTAATATCCGTACGTCCATCACCATCGCCATTGAGACTGGCGTCCAGAATGCTCTGCTAGCTCGAACCATTGTCTTTCTCTTCTATCCGAGACCAGAAGCTGATCTTCTAGCTCGTATCGCATTAACTACAATCTTAGTGACTTTACTCGAAGGCTCCTTCGCTACATTCGTCTATTACACGTTCAGGTTAGTATTGCCCTAAATACACAATGCCAAAGCAGTGAATAATAATAACATACAAACAAACAAACAAATAAACAAATAAACAAACAATCAACAAACAATCAATCAATTCGATTAATCAAAACAATTAATCAAATAACAAAAAAGCAAAATCAAACGATAAGGGGAAAAGAACGGGTCAATAGAATCAATAGAAAACATGCAATGATCAGGATCGAGATGTCCAAGATACACAACTCCGGACACAAAAACGTCATAAATCAGGGTATGCATTACTCGAAAAATTAAATGAGGTTCATTATTTGGAACATTTTGTTCATTTATCAGAATATTCACAGTTCCGAAAATGACATAGATATCATTTTTTCATATTGGAAAATGTTTTGGAATTATTACATAATATGTCATCATAAGCAAAATTTGAATATTGATGAAATGTTCATTACCTTATTAAAGACTGTAATAGTTACATTTCTTTTGTATTGTTATCCTGAAAACATACACAAACTTATCTTGTCCGTCCTTATATTTCTTTATTTTGCTGACATTATTCTATTTATTCAAAAGGAGACAGAATTGATACTGACTTGTAAATAGGAACCTGTGTAAATATCCTCTCATGGGTCATTCTGTCAAGTTATTCTTATATCATTTTGTTTCTAATTTTATATCATTTTACTCTTTGTATTTATGTTACATTGAACGTGATTAATAAATCTTATCATTTTTTGTGAAATCTAATATTACTTCTGTGGCAGATCCAGGGGGCATAGGGGGCACGTCCCCCCCCCCCCCCATCCCCCGGCCAAAAAAAAAAGTTAAAATCAGCCCAAAATTCGCCAAAAATGTACTGGCAATCAGGGACGTACTCCCCCCCCCCCCCCCCCGCCAAAAAAATATTTAAACAATAAGTGCGCACCCCCCCCCCCCCCCTCGGTCCGCATGTGGCCTAGTGTACCTCATCACTCTACTGATTCCTTCACCTATATGTTCTAGGGGGGTATTTCACAAATAGTAAGATTGGCTTTAAGTTGGACTTAACTATGGCAGGCCATTCATGCCACTAGTTCCTCTACCATTCCTGGCATTGGTTTCTCAAGGGACGTACATTATATCGTGGTCACGAATCTACAGCATTCACATTTGTTGATAGTTCATTATTGAAGGGAGAAAAAAATATCTAAAGATCATAATTGAGAGATCAATAGTGAGAGCAACCATTGGCATCAATGGCCCGCCATATTTAAGTCTAACTTAAGGTTGACCTTAGTCTTTATGAAACACCCCCCAGGTATATATTGTGCAGACGGCGATGTGAGAAGATGCTCACCGACGATGAGCTGGATGGCGAGAAGGCTATAGCCGTAGACGACATCGCAGCGACCGCGATCGATGAGAATACCGACAACCGGAACGGAGCTGAGAATGCTGCTTTTCAATCAGAGGCCAATAAAAATGGCACTGATCAGTGAATAATACCTACCTTATGCCTCAGTCACACCTTTGCGTATTTGGCATGCGTATTGCTCCGTTTTAAGAAATAGGAATAAATGTTAAAACGGCTTGCCATAATTACGTAGCAATAGTCCAGTTTACGGTTACATCAGTGCGCATGCGCAGACATGGGCGCCATTTTAATACACCAGTTTACGGTTGTATCCGTGCGCATGCGCAGACAGTTGACCTCGGGTCATTGGCTTTGAAACAAAGCCAATGACCCGAGGTCAGTAGTATTTATGCATAAATTAAGATTGCGCCCATATATGCAAATTATGATGTGAGCGCATGATCGAGTAAATAAATTTAACTAGGCCAACTGTGACGCAACAATACATGCTCATCTGAAAACTATGACATCACTGCCTGCGCGTTGCGCATGCGCAGTGCGCTCACATCATAATTTGCATGGGCGCAATCTTAATTTACGCATAAATACCACTGACCTCTAGGTCATTGGCTTTGTTTAAAATGGCGCACACAACCGTAAACTGGTGTATTATTATAGAGCCTACGTAATATTGTCAATATAATTTCAGCACATCGCAAGAATACAAATACGCCACCACAAAATAAGATAATCTGCATTTGTATAGCGCTTAAATACCGTATCGAAGCGCTTTGCAGATATCATTACCCCTGTCATCGGAGTATTTCGTCATATATAAGCAGACAATATTCGGTGTCAACATAAATGTTGTCGGGCAAGGGAGTTATGCGGTTAACCAAGCTAATAGGCACTTCCTTAGATTACTAGTTTTGTTTAATTATCATGACTTTCAGATGTCGGATCAAATTAAATTAAGTGTACCCGGTTGTATGGACTTTGCGAGCACTATAGACAGACCGCAGGCTATTTGGAAAGAGGTTGTTAGTCAGTGCATGTGTTAAGGCGACTGCTAATCAGATTGGGTTCCTCGCGATCAATTTGGCTACTACGAATTAAAACATCTTTTTGCACTTTTTCTCCGTACTTCGTTGAAAATGGCAAACTGCACAGTCTTGTCAAATACCAGTGAACAATGGACTCTCATCGGCGATTCGTTCCCTCCTTTCGACTATATCTTATGCCTCCTCATCGTAATTGGCATCGTAGGCAATTCTCTCGTCATATTCATCAAGATTCGCCATGGAGGATCGCGCAGTGGCGGCGGTGTGACGGAGACCAACCGCCTCGTCATCGGTCTAGCCACTGCGGACCTTCTTACCGCAGTATTCTTGTTACCGGTACCGGAGTATGTGAACGTACCGCGTAACGCCGCGGGAGAGTTCTATTGTCGCGTTCTCGAGCCGAGGACCTTGGCGTGGATCTGTCTCATTGCGTCGGTGTATACTCTCACCACCATATCTGTGGAACGTTTTCTCGCAGTGGTCTACCCGTACTACTACAGGATATGGGTGAAGAAACATCATGTCAAGTACTCATTTCTTGCCATATGGATCTCTGCGTTTGTCATTAACATTTACATCATCGCTTTTAATACCGTTGACGAATGCGGCAGATGCGATTCAATTTACATACCGACCCGCTCTAGAGTCAATGGCGTTTTCATTTTTCTGATCGAGTTTTTAGGTCCCTTGTTCATCATGACTTACACAAGTATCAGGGCCATGTGTGTCCTTCGAAGAAGTGCTGTAAAGGACGCGGATGAAAGTTCTAGATCCGTTAGAAGGCAGTCGACACAGCTAGAGATGCTAAGGCGCCGCTTTACCAAGATGTTCATCTTCATCTTCGCGTCTTTTATGATCCTCTGGACTCCTGATCAGCTGGCGTTCTTGCTCTACAACTTGGGCATCCTGAGTGATCAATTCACTCAGTCCGGAGCTTACAGATTCTTCCTCAACCTTGCCTTCTTGAATGCGGCCACGGCCAACCCCATCGTGTACTCGCTTTGCTTGCCTTCTTTTCGCCAAGCTGTGAAAGATCTTCTGATGTGTAGAGGCATGCAGAGATCAGCAGATCCGTTGACGGATCTATCATTCAGTACAGAAAGGCGACTCACCACTTCAACTGGTGCAACATCAACGTCCAAGAATTGATGTGTCAAGTTGCAGAAATATTATTTTGATAGCATTTCCCAATACCTTCGACGTTGTAGAGGCGTCGAAACCTAATGATCTTAACGCTGGGCTGGTCTTGGGTTCGAGTCCCGGCACGACAATAATGTCCCTAATTGACATGGCAAGGCACAAAATAATGTACATAATATTATGCCGCTCTCCTCTCATGTGTTAACATAGGTATAGGTCTACCTATAAAGAAGGAATTCTCAACCGCTGTGAGCGCCGAAAACGGCGTAATATATAGGCCTCGAGACATTGCATATTGGATGTGAGCGCTATACAAGTATAAAATATGATATCACCATAAACTTATAAATACAAAATGTGTAGCATATGAAATGTTGTAAAAGAAAAAACACATCTTCAAGCTATTTTAATTTTCTGTATGTTTTCCGCACAGAGGGAAAGAACTTAAGATTTTGACACGACGTACATAGTTTACTTGGCTATGATTAGTAATTTGTTTTAGAATGTATACAGTGCATCCCAGAAAAAACGAAACCGAGAATTAATGATTTATTATCATGACTTAATCACAATTATATTGACACATATTTATAAAAGCTTAGATTCTCTTCTTTCATATTTCACGCAACAAACAGAGTTGACAAAAGACATAACTCCATTTCGCTGACGATCAGTCTTGCGTGAAGTTTTTGTTCTTCTTACGGTTTGTTGTTAGGGGCTTAGGGCAGGCAGCCAGTGGAACGGATTCGTTTAATAAAATTATGGAAATGCAAGCATTATTTTAAACAAATAGAACTTTGTTTTTCCTGGCTCATTTTTTCCTGATTGGGTTGTCATTATGAGTGAAAGGGCAGAAAATGAACTTTCTAGAAATTTTATTTTCTCTTTGAAATTCAGATACAGTTCGCCAAAAGACTTTTAATTACCCTTTCTTCAAATTATTTTAATCACTCATGCGTGAAGTATGCATCACATGAGTTGCATCAAATGAAATAAGCTTTACAAATATATGTAATTCATTAATTAATTAATTAACGCTTATTAAGTTATGATAAAACATCACAAATTCTCGGTTTCGTTTTTTCCAGGACGCTCTGCAAATAGGGAAATTCTAAACAGTTTGAAGAAATATCATTAATAATTTTGCTACGAAAAAATATAAAATTGTGATTAAAAAATGATAAAACATCGATAATTCTCGGTTTCATTTTTCCGGAACGCACTGCAAATAGGGAAATGTTGAACAGTTTGAAGAAATATCATTAATAATTTTGCTATGACAAAAAAAAACTTTTCCAAGAAGAAAAAAAGGGGAGGCCTACAAGAATAGCATTATGAATAACTGTGTACAGCTGCATGCCGTTATGAATAGACATAATATATTTTCAAAGGAATTTAAAAAACAGTCACCACAAACGTAAACCAATGCAATTTAACGACATCAAGCGATTCGTGAATTAAATCTGTTTCATTCACGATATCGAAATAAGCATACGCTGTTTATCTCATATTACTTAAATGCTTTGTAAATACGTTGTTTTTTTTAAAGCTGAGTTCGTAATTTTATCTTTATTGGGCCATTTAAAAAACTATACATGTTTAGCGTCCCCGCCCGCTTACTTTTGGGGGGGCGCCTCCTTTTTTTCTTCAAATTTTTTAGATTTTTTTTTTCATTTTCTTTTTTTTTAAAGGAAAAAAACATGAAAAACACTGCTTAAATGGATTTATTTCTGATTTTAATTTTTGTTTTAAGAAAATGCCGACGGCCATTTTGAGCGGCATTTTGAAAGAAAAGAAAGAAGAAAAAAAGGGCCTCCTCCTTCCTATTTTTCAAAAAAACAGGACGCTAAACATTTTTTTTTTGGTATTTGGCCTTTTGTCATTTTTTGCCATTTGGCATAGATGGGAAGATTTAAACCCTCCAATTATTTTAGATGCAGCTAAGTGTTATAGTCATTGACAGTGATCGATGTTCTTTTGCCCAGTTTAAATAGCTAATATAGGAAAATTAATGTTTTATCATTAATATACAATGCCTGTTAAATGGTTTACGTCTAACTTGTATCTGACTTTAAAATGACATCGAAATGCAATACGGATATAAAATATTAGAGATATGTATAATGTCTCAATCCGTCTTTGCCGAGTTTAAATAGCTAGTGTAGAAAATTTAATGTTTTTATCAAAGTATTACTGTTGTTCACGTATGGAAATGTATTATTGTATAATCATTATCTGAAGCATTGTTGTATATTGTAATAACTCCAAAGGGACAAATATTTTGGATTTTCAGCACTTGTTTTTTTTTCTTCTTCCCCCATTCTATACAGTACGTATCTAAAAAGAATACCAACCTCTAGAAGTTTATGATTAAAAAGTCATAATTGATATGAACTTTAAATTTATTTCATGATAAGGAGTAAACTGTCTTCTGTCTAATGATACCACATTCATTGCTTCAGCCAAAACATGGTACAAGAGGTTTTTGACAACACTTTTTGAAAAAGGCTGCTGCTTAATCATCCGCGGCAGCAGAGTTATGAATAAGGTATCGTTAAACGGAATATTATTACAATGTCACACAGGTTACATCCTTAAAGAAGAATCTGCAAAAGTTAGGTATAACGCACTGTTTATATTATGAAGACAAGGAAGAAAAATAATGTTTGCAATTATATTGGTCTTGTGTTGGATGAGGGTCAATAAATTAATCAATGCTAAAATAAAGGATCCGTCTTATTTAAGAAAGTAAGGTGGAGAGAAGAGAGACTGAGAGAGAGGGAGGGAGGGAGGGAAGAAAGAGATATGGAGAGAGAGAGAGAGAGAGAGAGAGTAAAATAATGAGAGAGAGAGAGATAATGAGATAGAGGGAGAGAGAGAGAGGGGAGAGATAATGAGAGAGAGACACACAGAGATTCACACACAGAGGGAGAGAGAAAAAACGAAATCCAAATTTCCACAGCAATATTTGTTTATTTATTTACTTTGTTTTATTTAAAATACACTGGGTAACCCTGGTGAGTAAAACGCCTTTGTACTTGCATGGGGGCCTGCAAATAATACAAACAAAATTACAAACATTATACAAGAATACAAAACAACAAATAATACAAAGACATCAGGCCTGCAAGAAATAGT